CCCCCCCCCCCCCCCCCCCCCTACCTATTCCTAATCGCTTTTGATGCTTTGAGACGTTGCAGACCTGTGTAGGAACCCAGCGTGAGGCTGCTGACAACAGATTTGGGTCAAATAATATTTACAAGAGTTTGTTTTCCATCACTCTGCCAAAGACTGATGACGACTAAGTAGAATAAATAATGTAGTTTGTCGAGATGCGTGAAATGAATCAAATCATTGAGGTAAAAACAAGATGGATTTGTAGACACCATCAGACCCAGGATCAAGCGGGTAAGAGTTCATGGTTAGACCTTACATATTCCTCAAGACATCTCGAACAACACAAACCAGCTCTTCCATGATCAGACCCCGTGACCTGTCAGTCACTGTGCCGTCTGTGTTAACCACTGAAGCGCCGGACGACAGCAGGCTGCTGGGACTCTACAAACCCTGCAGCCCCCAGTGAGCTGATGTACCGTGGCTGCACAGGCAATATTTCATCTTACATTCATTTACAAAAGAAAAAAAGAAGCGGACAAAAATAAATCTAGGTTCTTTGTGAGATTATTACTTCAGTACATTTGAAGCCGTAGAACAGATTCTTATATGAAGAGTTTCTTTGCAAAATGAGATTTCTGCGTCGCGTGAAACTTAATAAAACCTGCAACAGCAGTTACAGTGTCGCTGGATATTGTTACCATTGAATGCAATGATGTGATTCTTTATAAGGGTGTTTTTGTAACCTATAGAAAATCCAAAATACGAGACGTTGACTGATCTCAGAGCTGCTCCTGTTGAAGTGTTTGGGCTGCTGACGCTGCAGAGAACGGGGACGTATACGTGTACACTTAGTGTCAGAAGACCATCAGCTCATTTGAAGATGAGTCATGTGACTCTGCAGGTGATGTTTGCTCAACTCTCTCAGGGTCATATTTTTACACCAAATATTTGTAGTACTTTTGCTTTAAAGCTGCTTGGAGCACCACACCAGGGTTTACTAAATCTGGGCGTCTCATCAATTGAGCCACGCAAAATCTGCCAGGCATGTTCAAACTAAATGGAAATAAAAAGAGGAAAAATTGTTTGACCAGGAATCAAAATTTGTCAGTAAAAGTTCAAGCATATTTCTGCCTTCCTCGCGCCACAGAGCCTTGTGCATCCCAGAATGTTTTCCCTCAACAACATTTGTGGGAATGAATAGCACCTCCAAGCGATGGTCGGTTACCTGCCAAGCAGACAAAACAACTTCTGCAAACCTGAGAAGAAGCAGAGCGAGGAGGACTGAAACAGTGTTTTATGAAATGCTTTTGAGGGTATCTTTTTCTCTTGTAATGTCATCACGTGGACAAACTGACCAACTGCAGATCAAATCTTCTCACTTTCAGGTGATGACTGATGGTTATTTCCCACCATCAAGTCCCTGTAGAAGCAACATCTCAAGCTGCAAAACCTAAAGCGGGCCGGATGGCTGAAAGAGGGCTGCTCTACTGGAGAGATGAGCAAGAAGAAAAACAGACACCCGCTAATGAAGAGTAGAAGTGAAGTGCTTTGATTCCTGCATGAACAGAGTTGACTCCTTAACCCTCTCCGGGGTCGCTGAGTGGAGTTGTGAGCACATCTAGCGCTCTATAATTATAGAATGTCAGCTTTGTTCATGCTTTCTGCTCTGACCTTTTCCCAGTGCTAAGAGTGTGCCCTTTAACCAGCCGCTGAGCAGCTCTAGTATGCTGAACACATGCGAGAGCCTGGAACTAAATATGAAGCATTCTTTAGGGCAGAATGTGAGTTACTAAATTGTTCTATTACTGTACCTCTGCAAGGGCGGGAAGTTAATAACTTTGGGAGTCAACCATGTTTTCTATATCGGTGCCTTCAGTCAAAGACCTGCAGATGTTATAGTATGAAACTTATATTTTGCAATGATGACCATTACGGGCTATTTCAAGCCCGCTCTGGTGTTCAGTGCTGAAGGAGAAAAGGCAGGAGAAAGACGGATCCGGTGCCCTGATGCCTTGACAAAACAGAATACTCTGTTTCAAGATAGCAGCCTGAGGTTTTCCTTTTTGTGTTTTCTCTCATTTTCCCCCAGTTGACAAAAAGAAGTAATGTTTCTTTAAAGAATGGACCAGTGATTTCAGATAAGGACTGTGGGAAGAGCAGGTAGAGCAGATATAAAAAGGAAGAGAAAATAGAAAAAGGACCGGCTTAGAGCAGCGTCACACACGGAGCACAAAGAACAAAGTGAGCCCAAGAGACCACGCAGCAAGATCATTTCAGGAGCCAATTTTAAGAAAAAGCGATGAATGCTCTTCTGTCCCGTCACTTCTTTTCTTTCTCTTTTTCAAATCAGTACTCAGGATCTTCCATTAGATTAGAATTCAAAAGTCTCATTTAGCAAATGAAGAAACCATTGCTGACACGTGCATCGTGGCTTCTCGCTCCACCAGCGTTTTGTTTGTGTGCTTCATATTCAGAGTTGGTACAGTATAAATATTGGCATTAAAAGCTCCACTGTATCTGCATCAGTATGAACACTAACATCACTGCGGCAGCGGCTAATTGGGCGGCTGTAGATAGCTCAGGGATACGGAACAATCGCCATCGAGCGGCAGGGGGAGAGCAACAGGATTTCTGGCACCAGCGGGGGGCAAGCGTTGCACTGGGAGACACAGCAGCAGCAATTAGAGGCTATGGATTTGGGCACTGATCACAGAGGATGCTGAACTGTCGCCCTGGCTCCCCTCACGCAGATCAGCCTAATCACTTCAGTCAATCAGAGTCACACGATCTATAGGAAGCCTGTTTCACGTGAGCTCGAGTCGCGGCGCTGCCAAAGGGACAAATCGTTAAACACCAGAAGGGTTTTCTCACCGCCGTTTGTGTGAGAGCCATGCCAGTGCACCTGTGTGTGCAGAGCCACCGGCTTTCGTTTCAACTGGAGGCGTAAATTAGCTGGAAAGGTTTCAATCGGCGTTGGATTACGAACCGGCCAGCCAGCGTGGATGAGATGTTGCTGTGGTCTTGTTCTGTACTCGGCTGCGCTGCCAGAGGAGGCTGGAAAGGTGGTCGTCTCTGCAGCCAGATGGGCGCAGAGACAGAGAGATTGGAAGGGGAGGGGGAGAGAGACAAAGCTCCAGACAGGCCTTTAGATGAGACACAGAGCCCGATTAGAAATGTCACAGACTCTTTAGACGGGCATTGGCTGCACGGCCAGCCTCCTACAGTGGATCCTCGTTAAAGGAAGACTGAATACGCGGTCGGCTTGTTCGGAGGCCAAACTGTACAGGACTCCGGTGACAGTGGCCCACAGTGCTGAGCTGTGAACACGACAGCAGGCGACAATGGGCAACTAATGGGTACAAGGGCCTGGAAAGTTGCCTTTTGGAAGTGTGTGTTGTGTGTGTGCGCGCAGCTGAACGTGTCCAGTTTGTTCCTGCCTTCAAAATAACACAATACAAAAACAACAATAACTTAAGTAAAACAATAGCATTGAGGGTTGCAAAGAGGATCTCTTCTAGCAGCAAGCCGCGGCCGCCTCGACTCTAACGAGGCGGTTTCGACAAATGTAGCATGTTTTTTGTTTTTATTTTAGGGGAAGGGGTGAAGTCAGCACCCGCTCTGTCCCTCCCTCTTTGTGTCCAGTTTCTGTCATTCAGTTCGTGGGGACCCATAGCTCCCGTAGGAGGAGAGGGAGGGGAAGCCCCGCTGAGGCTCCAGTCCACCAAACGACACGGCCCCTCACCGAAATCTTCCAGTCCTGCGTCCCAGCATGCACCTCTCCCCGCCGTAGCGGAGCTGGGCGGGAGTCTGTGAAGGAGGGGGCCGAAAGCGGGGGGGCTGATGGGAGAGCATCGGGTGGCGGGGTGGTAGAGGAGGACAGGTGGGCGCGGTCAGATGCAGGTGGACGGCTGTGCGGCGGGCTGCTGTTTGCGGCTCCTCAGGCCTCCGGACTTCTCCTTGTAGCCCGCACACATCTGCTGAGACACGTCCACCAGAGCACTGGCCACCGCCAGACCTGCACAGGCACACAGAAACATCACGATTACGGGATGATTATGCAAACATTCTTACGCCATCGATTTCTTGTTTTGTGATATCGAGACAAACCAAGCTGCGTTTCACTGTTCCAGAGGATGACAAATAGACAAGAAATAAATGTACCTTATAGTTTTATAGTAAGTAAAAAGAGATGTCAATCAAACTGTGAAGTTTAAGTTGACATTCAAAAGAGGAAGCTCGATCTTCTCTGTATACTAAACGCTTTATGGAGCTGTATGACGACCAGCTGCGACTTTAGGAGCAATCAAACCTTCATTTAAAGCTCCCTGTGTCTTTGATTGATCATTTCTCTACTTCACTTCTGTTTCCTTTAAATCAGAGCCAGACTAGCAGTCAACATCAGCTCATTGAAGATGAGATACAGATCCATTACAGAGTTTCTGTCAGCCGGAGAACACTGAAAAATGTTTATTTCTACTGTAAAATGTTTTCTTTGAATACGTTTATGGTTGATGATCATGAACAAATTTTTAAACATTGAAATACCAATATTGATAGAAGCCTCAACAAATTAGGAATCAGTTGCGAAATAAATTTGGGGCAACAAATCACTGCAATAACTGCACTGAAAATGTTTTTCTTGTCTATTATTTCTTATTATGCAAGGCAAGTCTCCACTTCCTTTTTTTGCAAGGCATTGTGGGTCAATAACATCCTTTATTATTTTGCATGACTTTGTTTATATTCGTATTTACTTAATTTGGTCAATTTCCCACGATAAACACTACGTACGCACTGCAGTCTATTTAAGATGTGTAAAATTGGAACACAGTCTCTCTCACACTCACACACACACTCACACACTCACACACACACACACACACACACACACTGTCTCCCACTCACAACCACAAAAACACAGGTGCAGGCAATCATTTAGTTATACCACACTTCATTAACATGTATTAATACTCTCTGAGCCATGAAATTCCAATAAACTCCATTTATCTCCGATGATTGATGCATTCCCCTCGATCACACACACACGGCCAGCAGCGAGATATGAATTCCCAGGAGAGAAGCTGTGTTGGGAATCAGACAGTCTTCGGTGAAACAGGCTGCCAACCATTAGCTCGTGTCTCGGTGTAGAATTGGGTGCAGGATGGTTCAAAGCACTCAAAGGAGGCCCGGATACAAATCACAGACGGTCTACAGCGCTGACCTCCTCTCGGCTGTTTTGGAAAACCAGGAGGGCGGCCATTTTGGAAGAAGCTTAACTGTAAACAGACGTGCTGCGAGGTCGTGACACTGACGACAAGTCGGCAGCAGCCTGAGGATTGAAAACGAACGCGGCCAGATGGGAAGCGAGTTAAAAGCATTAGAACAGGGGGAGCCCTCGCGGGCATGGGGAGATGGTAGGAACACGGCTAACACGGCCTCAACAAACGCTGCCCGAGGGGAAGCTCCGCTGAGAGCCGAGGCGGTTCTATTATGACAAAAAGGACTACGTGGTAATTAATAGGGGCCTGGGGCACGCTGATGGTCTGGGGACTGCAACTGTGGGAGGCAAAGAGGCTGTAAAACACAGACGGGGGAAGAAAAAAAAGACAGAACAAGGAATCAAGTTGAGTTCTTGTTTGAGTCCTTGAAGAAGACAGTAAGGAAGAAAAAAACTACTTGTAAGAAAAGGCAAGTGAAGCGCTTAGTCCTGGGTCCTATCAGACTGTCTCGGGAAAGAAAGATAAGGGAAACAGATGAAGGACGGATGGGAAAGAGAGCAAGTGACACACAGCAGAGGATGAGAGGAAGCTTAATTCTTAGCGCTATCAGAAAGAAGGAGGGAGAGAAAGAAGAGGGGCATGCATGAAAGGAAGGGACATGCATGAAAAGACACCAGACTGCACTTTGAACCCAGAGCTCACAGACAAGAAGAGGAGAAAGAGAAAAATGAAAGTGGGAAAGAGACGACAACATGCAGAGAGAAAGATGAGGACAAGGGCGACAAACAGGCAGCGGCCTTCATTTCACCACCAAGGACCGAGAGGACAGAATGAGGGAAAGGGAGACAGCGGGGGGAGCGCCGCAGCATCTTTAAAGTCAATACATCCGTGTCACGTTATTGGCACAACCATGAAACAATGACTGTAAACAGATGAGACCATGGTCAACGTGATTGCTAGCCTCCGTTTTTATGATTTTCTCAGTGTCTCCCAACACATATTCCATAATCTCTGATTCTTCTGTTCTGTCACTGAGGATCGCCAGTTGTTATTCTTTGCTCCCTCATGTTATGTGAGAGGATTTCACTGTGTGGAAGAGAAAAATAACATTCTGCTCTGTTTGCACTGGAAGAGCCTCATTCCCTTTGGTTTTATGAAGAAGAATCTGTGTGTCGAGCAGCGATGCAGAGACATCTCTGTGAAATTAATGTAATATGCAGTGTAGACAATGACAGAAAATGCAAATATTTAATCTTAGATATTATATGTAAGACCACGTCCCTACTATAGGCACAGCTGAATTAATCAGGTGGTCCCCTCTGACCTCTCCAACTCCTCTGTGTGGACCACGAAGCCTCCAAGTTTACATTAGTGCAAACAGCAGACTATACTGTAGGTGGTGGCTTTATTATACGCCCACAGACACACCAGGAGCTCTGTACTCCCTACCACAGGTTGTCTGTGTGTCAGTTAGTTTAAGGTATTCTGAAGTAAAGGAACTTTCTCCAGGAACATGCATAACGTGAGAACATTAAAGTTCTAAAGGAGAGAGTGCAAAAACACGGAAATTAGTCAGCATGTTTGCACGTTTTTCCGGTTCCCTCGTCTCGACGTCGTGGGTTTTTGAATAGATGCCTGAAACAAGGTCAGTGGTTAACACTGACCTTGTTAAAATATAGATTACGTCAGTAAATACAACGCTTGTGATACTGAACCTTTTTACGTTTCTTAAACAAGGCGGTTGCTAACAAGTGGCTAAATGAGACGAGTAAACTTCATCACCTTCACGGCCGCGTTGTCTATACTCGCGCTCATGTGACCGCGGTGCAGTTAGCTTTTAGCTTACCAGCCTAATGTTAGCTTTTAGCTTCTGGTGATTGCATCCATGCTTCAAAAATCATAAAAGTGGTGTTTATTTGTGAAGATTATCTTGCTGAACAAAACATGTAAGTATCAGAAATTTGTGTTTGCAATAATCCAAAATCCAATGGAAATATCCAATTGGCTTTTTATAGAGGGAACCAGTGTGATGCTAACGTCCGTGTTCAGTCACCCTGCAGCACTCTCTCTATTAATAATACCAGCTTATGACCCTAACCCTCTGCAACACAGGGCTACAACATTAAGTATTAATCTAGGATCCACCTTGATGGGTGTTGTATTATAATTTCATAAATGCAATTAATCAAATTGCCAAAGAGGTCTGGTACCCAGTGGCCCACTCTGTCTGGGTTATAGACCACCTATGACTAAGCTGGCTACGTCTGCTTTGGTTAATGTCTTGGCCTTTTCCAGTTATTCTCTGAATGGCTCTCCAAGGCCAACGACTGAAAACGTTTCTCTCACATCGTAACAGGGATGAGAAAAGTAAAGCTTCTCCAAAAACAATGACAACGGCCCGGCTCACACGTACAGGCCCCGAGCAGACGTTCTGTCATCTCCGTCATTGTTAATGCCAAAAGATGTGATGAGCCAATACCGGCGTGGAAATGCATTTACGTTTCTGTTACCAGATGACTTCACGAGCCCGGTGATTTGATCGACGGAGTTTACCTGGTAAGGAGGTGGCACACTTTGATTTATATTTATAGTCGTTTGTCTGACGGCAGAAACGGATAAATACACGATGTGAGAGAACAACTAAACTGTGTGTTCTGCGGTGTTGAAACCACCTTCAAAAGATGCAACGTGTGAGATCTGGCAAGAAAAAGAAGACCTAACATTATCAAGAGTATGAAGAGGTAAGAGTTTTGACATATATGCTTTGTGTTGCAGAGATATCTACTGAAAGGAGCATGCTAACCAGCTAGTTCAGCATGAGGCCAGGTATGACACGTTTTACCTTTAACCAGAGGAAAACACATTTAGCTGAGAGTCAGGAGAGGAACACATTACGCTGTTCAGGAGGAACAACAGGTTCATCTCTGCTGCTGTCTGGGTGTTTCAGTGTGTGCTCAGTGAGAACCTGCCGCAAAACAACCTCAAATCTCTCGTGTGGACAGAAGACATCTGCAGACGCACACAGTGTTTTCACTTTAATCACCTTATTGTGGACGCGGTGTAGCAATCTGAAGGAAGGATAATATGAAAGAAATAAGAAAAGGGAGTGAAAGTAAAAGAGCATAAAAGAGCTTCAGAAGACGGAGGAAGGACAGGGGCTCAAGGAGAGGCGGTGTAAAAAGGTGAGCAACAATCAAACAAAGACGGATGAGGAATGAAAACAAGCGAAAGGTTTCAGCGGCTTCGTCTTACCAGACTGTCCTGGAGGAGGGATGCCGCCGGTGCCCCTGGGTAACCGCACAAAGATGGAGAGCACGGCGGCTTTGTTGCCGAAGCAAGGCTCTAAGGCGATGGGCTTTGGGACGGACTGCGGAAAGAAAAACAAACAGAAAAAAAAATTACACATCACAACCCTCCCAAATCCTGGGGAACACACACACACACACACACACACACACACACACACACACACACACACACGCCACTCTCAAAGACACGGATAACGGAGGCTTTGCTGTTACTGTTCTTCTTTGCGTCAGCAACATGCACAGAAACCACAAAAAGAAATAACTTGAGATACACGGACTGATCTGTGGGCACCAATTGGATCCCCCCCCCACACCCCCCACATTCACCCACTGTGCACAAATCAATGACGATGCCGCCTGTGTGCAGCGCGGGGCCGCGACTGGATATCAAGTGGCGGCCCTGGGAGCGCAGATTTGTGTCGGCGGTGCACTCCTGTCGCTGCATGCCGCCTCACACACCTGCCTCAACACCTCCTGTTTATCAGTAACTCATCCTTATGTGGGGATGAGTTTCCCGCCTGTAAACACTGGCCAGATCTGCTGCCGCTCTCCCTCGTACAATATTCATGCGTTTACCTCGACGGAGGATATGGAGAACGCATACCGACCGACCGACCGACCGAGCTCTCTCTCACTCTCTCTCACTCTCACTCATATGAGCCGGACAGGAAACTGGGCCATGGCATGGTTTCACACAGATTCATCACAGCTGTCTTACACACACACAAAGTGTAATTGTACACATGGGGAGCGGGGCAGTAATGATATTCAGGCTCTGACCCATTTTACACAATTATTCTCTGCTCCGTCTCTCTGAGGCTTACCTTTCATACCGGCAGGATACACAGGCTGTCACAGGTAGCTGGGGAAGTGGCACAAAGACCTGTGTGTGTGTGTGTGTGTGTGTGTGTGTGTGTGTGTAGTCAGTGAAGATGTTGATGTTGTACCAGAGGGGGGATTCAGTATTTGTTCATGCTGCTACAGATGTGCGTTTATAGCACCGAGGCTTTACTGTGCAACTGGCTGTGTTCAGGTACGATCTGACAGAGAAGGGCATTTTATCCTGTTATTTTCACTGCATGTGTGTTAGTGGTTCAAACCCCTTCACAGACATGATCCTCACTCAGTAAATGCGCTGTAATGTCCGCCTCATGTATGAATAAGCCCTCAAATGAGTTTTCTGTAAAAGTCACGACTGCAATCTTGCTTGGTGGGACATTTTTTACATTTTCATCACACTTGCTGTGTAGAAATGTTCAGCTGTGCTTTCTAAGGCAGTGATTATGGTTCTCTGTGGGTCTACACAGTGTTATTGATAACTGTAACAAAGAAGAGGTGTAAATGTGTACTTTGAATATAAACGTATTCAAAGCTTTTATTGAGGTTTTAGTGAATGAAGTTTTGTGCAGCAAACTGTTATTTGACTACAGTGAAAATTATGATTTTGAAAAGCTAAACGCCAACAAATATGGATCGAAGGACAATATTTCAGGGCTTATCAAAGTGGGGGCTGTGGGCCAAAGTTGATAGTAAAAAGTAAATGAATAATATGAGTTGCTGTTTGTGCCATTTTAATTTCTGCGAGGTAAAAATGCTCTTTAGATATGAATTTAAAAAATTATTATTTATTTTTTTAATAATCTGACAATTGGTGTTTGCTTTTGGCTTGAAGTAAGGTAAAAAGTGTTTGAAATGATTACATCTTTTTTCAATAATTATTTACTTTTGGGCTCTGGAGTTGGGAATGTTTGAATCACAATCCGATGTAACTATCGCTGGAATCTACAAATCTAATAACATTAATGATGTTAGCGTAGCCTGATCTTTACAAGGCTAATACAAGGTTCACACAGAATAAAATAGCTGCGCACCATTCAAAGTTTTTGCAGAACTTCCTCTCATGTTAGATCATGTTTCTTTTCCTCCTGCAACCAAGAGGGGAAGAAACATAGGAAGAAATGCCAAAGAAACTAAGAAAACCCCAGCGATCTTCTGTTTGCCTGCATTCTTTTCCAATTTCATTATTGCCGACTGCTTATGAATACCCAGCATAAAGCTTTACACACAGCATGTGAGTAATCAGGAATATACTGAGAGTAAGGATCCAACCTCTTTTCATTTCCAAGTCTGCTTGGACGTTGTACTAATACAACAGTGAGCAGAACTTTATATTCCATCTGATAAGTGACTAAATGGACGAGAGGGATGATTCGACTATCTTGAAAAGCTGTTCTTTCGGAAATGTCATTTTTTCGAAAAAGCAGAAAACGATGTAAAGAATTCATGTTTCAAAACCAAAAACCTTTTATTACTTTAACAGATAATGAAGCCAGCAAAATTACAAATGTCACATCTCAGAGGGGCTTACAGTGATTTCAATATGGCTGCTGTGTGAATGTGTGTATATTTATGCACACACCATCTTTGGACACAGAAGGTTATTAAGAGGTGTGTTTGCTTTGCCTCTGAGCTTGCAGCAATGCTGCACTCACACGCATGCAGCGTTACCGCCCCCCCCAAATAAAAAACTGAGAGGGGGAATAGTTCAGATGCAGACAAATGGGCCCGCAGAGGGGCCGACTCGCCTGCTGCTGGAAACACTGCAGTCAAACCAGCAGCAGCATCAACAAGCAACAGAAAATAAGGAATACCCGACGCATGTTTGGATACCAGAAAAATGCACAGCACCTCGACTCTGACACGCTGGGGTTCTAACTATACGCTGCTCTGACTTTGAGAAATGAGCGTGATTAATGTAAGCAAACTAAGAAAAGGGTCACCGCTGTGCTTTATATCCTCTCCATCTTAACTCCCTCCTTGATCATCTGTCTCTCTCTTGTCAAGTCAAGTTTATTTTAAGAGGCCAGAATTAAGACAAGTTTGTCCCAAAGGGCTCGACAATCAGTACGGCACATGACATGAAGACTCAGACGAGGAACAACCTGGAAAGACCTCATCAGAGAGAAACAGAGCTCCTTCTAGTTGATGTTTTCTGTTCAAGAAATTCAGAAATATTGACTTTCCCTGCCTTCTTCTTTCCGATGTTGCTTCCCCTGTGGCGTCTTTTGGAGGTGTTACTTGTAGCATTAAAACACATTAAACAAAGACATTTTAATGACATTTAATTTATACCCAAAATATAATATGAATCATAATTGGCATAAACAAACAAGACCATTGCCGAGAAGATTGGCAGCATGTAGCAACCAGCCATTACACGCTGATGTGTTTATCTCCTTAGCAAAGTAAAAAAAAAAAAAAAGAATGATAACATGAAGAGCCGGCAAGGACGAGTTGCTCCATAAAAGTGAGGGACAGGTTCTATGAAAAAGTGTTTAATGATGAGAAACACTAGAACCAACAACAGCGCTGCTGTGAGAGAGACGCCAACTCATCTCACTTCTGCTCAATTAAACAGCGTGAAGGTATCAACACTAATCTGACTATGACCGTCATGAATACTGCACACGACACTTTTAACTCATCTGAATCCGATCTCACATGAACTGCTTGAATGAACTAAAAGGTCTCAACGGTGGGACACAAAGATGTTTACAACCTGTCAAAGTTACAATCTGTGAAGTAATATCAAACACGATCAATAGCAGAGTGACACAATGGCAATGGAGCCGACTGACCACCAGGGGGCGAAAAGAAGCCCGATTGTATTGAAGTCTATGAGAAAATGACTCTACTTCTCTCTTGATTTATTACCTCAGTAAACATTGTAAACATGAGTTTATGGTCTCAATCTCTAGTTTCAAGTCTTCTTCAATACAGCATGATGTTCATTTAGTACATTATGGTCCATTTAGAGTCACACAGACCATAAAGCAGGGGATGCTTTAGGGCGGGGCTACACAGTGATCCTCCAAATTTCAAATAAGGTCACTACAGTTCACAGGTTGCAAAAAGTCAAGATGAGCCACATTGGCGAAATCGAGGCTTCACAAAGCAATGGGTGACGTCACAACGACTACGTCCTCTTCTCGTATACAGTCTGTGGTTTTGACCACTGGGGCCGACAAACGCACCTTGATCAGCTCCTCCGTCAGGAATACAACAGGAGAGCAACTTGTTTTACTGTTAATGCTCCCAAAACAATCCTAAGCTGTTTGGGTTCGATGCGTCAGACTGAAGAGAACAATGTGTGATCAACACAACGATAGAGAACATTACATGAATGCGTGCATGCACACGGGCTTGTGTCTTATGTATCACATGCACAGGTTTCCATTGAATCCAACACAAGAAAGGCAGACTCAGCCACTAATGCCATCGCCTATATAGATCACAGAATCAACCTGTTACAATATGAAACAGAATAAGTTTGTGGCTCTAACTGTTGAGATTGAACTTTACGACAGTGAAAGCCACCACAGTCTTTCAGGGCGATAAAACATTAATATCACTTACAGCTTGGTGTGATAAATGAGTGATGATGCAATCACTAGAAAAGACACTCAGGAACAGGATCATTTCTTTCCATTCTCAGAATCATGGTGCAAGAACTTCATTATATGCAGCTTACATGGACTGCTGAGGAATGTGAAGAAAACTACTGACAACTATCAGAGTACAGCATTAGGTGGTGTAATATCACACTTGGCTAATTTCAATCCTTGATCTCTTGGTACAAAGTAAGATCAAACAATTATTTCGGTCTTGCCAGAAGCGATCCAACCGGGCTTAGTTTGCTCCGGTCCATAGGCCTGTTGTTGCCTCGAGGCAAAATGTATTTCTCATCCAGTGTGTTTACAACTGGAGAAAATGAGGAGCTGCCCGTGATGACCTGAACACATCTGTACTCTAAGTGTACTCTAAGAAACAAAAGAAGACTGGCGGCTTCTAATTCCACAGCTTAGAGCCGTCGTAAGACTTGTCTGCCAAGTCCAATTTCCAGTGCAGCAGCTGCAGGGGGCTCTGAGGTTCTCGCTTGTCTCTCATTTTCTAGCACCAGCCTCTCATATTCGAAGCGGAGAGGGAATAGACACGCATCTGGAACAGGAAGAGACTTTGCTGTCGGACTGATGTGACATTGGGATTACTTTTCAACTCG